GAATGGCAACGCATGGGGGGTATCATGGGCGAAACAGTATACTCTGTTATGTCCATGGTACTGCTCATGTCTATAGGCGACGGTTACCACTTTCCATCAGGTGGGCCGTCAGCTTGTTTGCCATTCTAAGTTGTATCATCAAAAAAAAACCTGTTTTCTAAGTTCTGACGTCTCGAAACATCATACATATTAATACAAGATAACAACTAAAGAGATTGGGTTTTGCAAATAACCTGATCCGTTTAGACTCGTAGTGTTTATTTCGAAGTGGAGGTTGTTCGTTTGAAAGGTACTGCGAACTAAATTTAATCTTTCTTTAAGGAAATACGTTCTACTAAAAAAAATAAGTAAAACAATGTTCAGAATACAACAACAACAAAAAAAGCACACATACGTATTATATCACATTGTTCAATAAAAGTTCGCAGTGTGATTTTGGCATAGGCCATCCCTACCTTTCCCGTGGGTGTCGTAAGAGGCGACTAAGGGAACTTAAAGGAAAAGAGATAGGCATCAGCGTCCCTCTTAAAACATTTGTAATTGCCTAACTGCGATTACGAACCCGCCTGCCAAGCGTGGCAACTACTAACAAAATTCCCCTTATGCGGAATGCTTGTGTTCAGCAGTGGACAGCTAACGACTGAATCGATGGTGATGATGATTCCATAAAAAAGAAAGAAGTGGTAATGTTGTGAAAAATCCTTGGCCTACGAAATCGAAATTAGGCCAGTCGATTTCTTTTGTGACATAGATACACTACATTTACTGGGTACAGAGGAATAACATCTGAGTCCTTAGGAATGGCAACGCATGGGGGGTATCATGGGCGAAACAGTATACTCTATTATGTCCATGGTACTGCTCATGTCTATAGGCGACGGTTACCACTTTCCATCAGGTGGGCCGTCAGCTTGTTTGCCATTCTAAGTTGTATATAAAAAAAAAAAACTAGACATTATTTTATAAATTTCAAGGAAAATAACAAATATTCATTTCTACGCAGGGAAATTCACAACTAATGAATACGAGTACTACTAATATTATGTAATATATAAAAATATATAGAAATGCTTAAATCTGAAATATTGATAACTCAAATTGAATTTCTATAATAATAAAGTTGCTAGCAACTTGTTTATTTTTTTAAATGTTGACACTTTTGTTATTTTACTCATTAGTATTTTTTTAATTGACATAAAGTTATCGATTTAATAAATAATATTTTACTTTTGTAATCATTAGCTACTAATTGTCACATTCAAATTGGTATCGATGTTTTTGACGTAATCGCGCATCTTGAAACATGTCATGCTCACTACGATGTACTTTGTGGTTCCGTAATGGGCCGAGTCGTTAGACTCCTTAAAATATGGTTGAACACAATTATAACTAGTTTATCCGTCATACTCGTGAACAGGTGCTTCTGGTAGGGACTGGACTCTTCAAGAATACTGTGACTGACTGTAGCTTTGTAGTTGTTTATATTCTTTCTTCTAATTAATACAATATTTGTGACAGCTATTTTATCCATTCACATTTTTGTTGCATTTTACTACATTTTTGTTTTTACTTAATATTTATTTGAAAAAAGCAACATTTGACTCGTTTACCCGTTCATTTCATTGTTTACACTCCGAACTTATACTGTAAATTCATTACAAAAATAATTATTTAAAATACTTATAATTAAATTTACTTGTATAAAAAATATTTATTATTATATTAACGAAACGAAACCCGGATACTGATTAGATAAGAAATTTCAGAAACCATAAGGTTTCCAAATAAATTCTAAGAAGCCTCTCGAATGACCTGGGCGTCCATTAAGAAAGTGTTTTGGGAATACCCTCAGAAAAGATAGAAAATGGATTCGGACCAGTCAGAGTCGTGAGTTGTGCTTCTGATATTTTATTATTTATGTTAATGTATGATTGTGTGTTATACTGTGTAGTGTAACACAATTTATTATCAGTATTAGATGGCCTGCCTGTATTTAGTTAGTAACCCCTGATAGTTGATAAAATGACCTTCGGGTCATATAAAAATTGAACGGATTTCCGGCTATTCTTGATAAATGAAATGATTAAAAATGTTATAAGGCATTCATTTGATTGCTTTAAAACAGGCATGGTTTTGTTTATGTGAATAAGACCACTGTGAGTCGATTTTTTGTAAAAATAACGGTATTTTTAAAGAAGTCGTTCTATCGGAATTTTTTTATCCAATATCTGTATTGACGTGTCACCAATCAATTGACTTGTCAACTAAGATACAAAAAATGTTTCCAAAGTATATATATATATATATATATATATATATATATATATATATATATATATATATATATATATACTTTATTGCGCTTGTAAAATACATTGTTGATGCATTTATAAATATTGTGAACAACGGTGGACTTATTTATGACAGAGATCTCTTTCAGTCAACCCAATACAGTTAGAAAGCATGTCGTGCAACTAATTTGCAACAACTATTAATACTCCGAATATGAATAACTAATCAATACATAAACAACTATACAAATAAACAGTTAAATGAAATTTTAATATATATCAGAATATTATATAAATACACATACTATAAATAAATGTAATACCTACCTACTTATATAATAAATGTTAAAATAAATGAATATACTACCCACATTACACTACTTTAACCGTTGATAAATTATGTAAATAACACACAATTATGTAGAATATAATAATATTTAATATAAAAACGACTCCATGACATTACAACTGAATGACTTTAGAATAAGCACCATTCAAGAGTAAATACCTCAGACAACGCAATCGTTGAAGCCATGAGTGTTTCAATAATTGAATTTCTACGATACCGGTGCGGTTTTCATTACAGAAATCAACCCATAGTCAACCAATAAATCATCTCAATAATATTGTTAAGATAATGTAAACTTTATTGCAAGATTTACATTACATTCGTATTATTAGAAATAATTAATATGTAAATTAAATTAACAAATCGAAGATTGATGATTATGGTAGAAGCGAAAGAGGTTTGCTTGAATCAAAGCATTTGGCATTTCTTTGTTTCTGCCTACCCTAATGGGAGACAGGTATAACAGATATGTATGTAAATTAAAAAATACAAACAATGGAAACACATACAAATATCCTTTGTCCGCATAACTAGAAATTATTATTTTACCGACTAAAAAGTCGACTTTATCTTTCTCCATGTCAAATACACCAAAAATCCTTAATTTCGTTTACAAGGCCACTTTCACATTCAAAATATTAGGACAGTGTAAGGAATATAGTATTCCAACGAGTTCACATCCCGATTTATTACATTACAATTCGGGACGCATTACTCTGTCTAGACGTGTCCGTTAGATCACTAGTATGAAAGAGTTCTTTACACTGTGATACTTTCTAATATCATAAAATATGAAAGTGAATTTATTTGTTAACTTATAGCACCTTAACGGCTTAACTAAACCCTATGAAATTTGGTGTATAAACGCTTTATATAGGATAGAAAAGAATATAAGCTACTCTTTGTCCCGGTCACGCGGATAAAATCGCGGGTAAAAGCTAGTTTTTTTTATATAAATTATACTTCGATTCATCAATAACGGGGTACGCAATTTCTTAATAATTGTCTCTACTTGAAATGAGAAAACTTTGTTATTATTTTGGTGATCGTTCAATTGCTGTTTAACACTTGAACAAACCTTTTGAAAACAATCCAACTCTAAATAATAAATTACAAGCTAACTACGTAGAAGTAGAAGCGTTGAATCAACTAATTGTTGAAAGTTTTAATTTGAATGAACTTCAAATATTTAACTCGTTTAAATTGACAAATAGATTTAATTCTCTACAAAAAAACAGGAACTTGGACCGTGACTTAATTACTTTCTATTGACTAGTCCCATTATTGTTATTTGATCGATTTTGAAATTATTTTACCTATAGAAAACCACGTTATTGGCAAGTAACATATTTTTTTACAAAAAAATACCGTGCAGAACTGGAGCACATCGCTAGTAATATATCAGCATCATCATCATATCAGCCATTATCATAATATCAACATAGGCCTAAAGTAATATATAATATAATAAATTATAATTTATTTTATAACTATAGCTATGCAATTAAAAATATCAGCTTGACCACGCTGGCTAAAGTAGTGGTCGTTGTCGCCGACAACAAACCTCTTTATATTTTTATAACATATTTTTTCTATATTAAAACATGAAACTGAACCCGATGTAATTTCTACAGTCGTGATATTATTAATTTATTTACTAATCACTTATCGATGATTTGATTTTAACGATGGGCGCAAATAGTGACTAATTAGCTGCGTACATAAACCCAATATATATACAGATATATGTCTAATATCATTTCTGTTTATATTTTAATGGCGATCTTTACAGCTCAATTATAGCTGAGTTGCTTTGCTTAAATAAGGTCCCGGATTCCGTTCTTGGTCCGGTTGATTTAAAACACTAATTCTCCAAATTTAACTAAACTCAAACCTAAATATTCTGTTTTGGTATTCTATAACACAAGACTATCTGTTATAATTCTGTTATAATCATCATAGCTATTAACTGTCCGCTGCTGAACATAACCCTTCCCCTTCCATTCATAAGGGGAGCTTTGCTAGTAGTTTCCACACTTGTCAAACAAGTTGACAAGTGCAATTAGGATTTGATGATGTTTTAACATAGATACTGATACCTATTCCTCAACCATTGAATTCCTTTAGTCGCCTCTTACGACACGGGAAAAGAAGGAGTAGTCCATTCTATGCCGGGACAACATAGCGAAATATTATAATATCAATAAATATACCTTCCAACATCGAATACAAACCCAGATCTCATGCTATAAATGAGTAGACTGAGTTTGTTCCCAGTTACACTACAGAAAGAACCACTATTCAAGGTTATGCTTTTAAAAATATTTTCAAAATATATGTACCTAATAATAATGTTTCAGGTCCGAAACGCAACTGCGGTGTTCATCATGAACTTATCATGTTCTGACCTGCTCTTCTGCTGCTTCAACCTTCCACTGGCAGCATCCACCTTCTGGAGACGGTCGTGGGCACACGGCAGGACTCTCTGCAGGATGTTTCCCTTGGCCCGCTACGCATTGGTTGCAGTATCACTATTCACTGTTCTCGCCATCACGATCAACAGATATGTGATGATATCGCACCCAAGAATCTATCCAAAGTAGGTTATTATTTGTTTTGCGCTAGCTATAAATTTACATGAATATTTTTATGCAAAGAAATGGTAAACAAGCTAAAAGCCCACCAATTGAAATATACCTACCGCATATTGACATAAACAGCACCATTGACATGACAAAATACACCATGCTATCCGTTGCACTCCTTATAGATTACCACTCCTGAGGACTAAGGTACTATACCTCCATTCTTTGTAATTATACTGCCCTACTAAGCAAAACACATCCATCCATATAAGCATAGCTGCTTGATAGCAGAAACACAAATAGAACAGCGGACTTTTGGATAAATCCTCCAGAATTTTAATCAAAAAAGTGTCCTATATGTTAACTCAGACACTTATATACTAAATTTCTCTTATTTAATTCCATTCAAAGTCAAGCTGTTTCAATCTAATTACACTTAAGTTAAACTGGTAGTTATGACATTAAAATATAATTCCATTCAATTCACTAATCGAAACTGAATAACAATCACATAAAAACATCCAAATGTCTTTGCAAATATATAATAATATATAATTATTTTTATTAAATTCTGTTTATAGTTTACTATTATCTGTATGGTGAACTAAATTGCTCGGTAATAATAAATCAGGTGCGTAACTGAGGTACAGGTTTCCATTTTGATTGGGTCGGGTTTAGGACCCGAACTTTTCTAAATTAACTCAGAGCTAGATGTTCTACATTGTGATCCCAGTTGTTTGTTATGTAATTTCTCATATATAATACATACAATGAATACAGAACATTTATAATAAATAGTATCAGATTATACTCGTAGTGCCCGAAATAGAAGTTTTCCAATTTAATCCAAGGAATATTGTATTTTTCAGATTATATAAGAGACACTACCTCGCAGTAATGGTTGCTAGTACGTGGATCTTCTCATTTGGCGCTTTAATAGCAACATGGCTGGAGAAATGGGGCCGATTCGGATTAGACCCCACTATCGGATCTTGCTCTATACTCCCTGATCAGAATAAAAGATCTCCGAAGGAATTCCTCTTTGTCGGCGCTTTTATGCTGCCCTGTTTAGCAATTGTAATATGTTATGCTCGAATATTTTGCATCGTGAGAGAGGCAGCAAGAAAATCGCGAGCACCGGCCCGCGGGCGGCCTCGGGGATTATTAGAAGACTCAGCAGTTGGTTCAGCATCGACAGCTTTAGAGCGATCACCTTGCCCTGAAAATGGGGTCAACCATGTCGCTCCACCTAGAAGAGCATTACTAGCACCGCCTGTGTTACATTGTCCTCCAACACCAGCCCCTGAACGTTCATCGTCTTCTGGTGTAGACACATTAGACGGACACGATGAAGAGTGCGCACTTGATGCAAAACCTCGAACACCTAGTGGTGGTGAAACAGCTAAAAGACTTCGACAAGCCGCAGTAGCGTTAAGACGATCACCGGCATCGGTCAGACCACCTCGACTGACTCATAAAGATAGGAAGCTACTAAAAATGATAATGGCTATTATGCTATCATTTTGGGTGTGTTACTTGCCTATAACTCTCACGAAGATTTTTCGAGAGTTCACGTCACATCCAGCGGCGAATATCGCCGGCTATATACTAATATATTTGACGACGTGTATAAATCCCATAATATATGTAGTGATGTCGAGCGAGTACCGCCAAGCGTACAAGAATTTGTTGATGTGCAGAAGGTGGGCGTGACGTTCGTCCGGCGATGGCGCATCGGAGAAGCGCCCGCCGTGACTAGTTATTACTGACCGCACCACCTCTGAACATGGTGACCACAAACAAACATTTATCAGACTAAAGACTGTTGAACTTTAAAGTTACCTCAAGTGTTGCGTGTAACAAACCTTGTATATTAGAGATCGTGAACCGTCCGAGACAGTGCTAAATAGAGGATGTGAAGACATGTTTCAAATATTATACTGACTAGTTTATAAGTGTAGACGATATATCAATACGTAATAAGTCATTTCAAGATATACCATGTAATCTAAAGTATTTTCAATGTTGTAATTTATTTATTATAGGTTATTACGAATATTAATAAGACAGGCGCAATGTACGTATTAACTTGTCAACCAGGTTAGCTTCGCGAAACCTGTGTTATTTTTATCTCATTAGTTTTTACCAGAGACTAGCAATAAAACGTGGCAAGGACCAAAGAGAATGGTACAATAATGTTGGAAAGCAATAACGTTAAATTATAATTTAAAAAATATAAACTATACTCGGCAGACGCAAGTCTGAGCGCTTATCAATCGCGGTGCGCCCATGACGGTCCACCTAACTTGACTCATGACCAGTTAGGGAAAAATCGTGTAAACAGTAATCATCGTAATGCCAGAAGCGAACGTTTTGTGTAAATTGTAATCCACTCATAGTGCGATGTTTGTGGACAAGTGACGCGCGATTGACGAGCGTTTACCGAGTTATAATGGCTTCGGTAATTAGCTTAGCAAACGGTTCGCTAGTGAATTTTACAACTAACAATAGTGTACTGGGACTGGATGAATACAACTCAGATAAGGAGCTAGCTGCTGTGGAATTGTTCAAGAACTATCCTGAGGGTCTGCTGAAGTTCGCTACAGTCTGCTGCGGGTTGTTCATGCTGGTTGGCATACCGGGAAATATAATCACAATCGTCGCTCTGGCCCGTTGTAAAAAGGTAGGTTATTACAATAGTAATAAAATTAATATAATTTTATGCGGTCTTTAAAAATATACAAGTCATATTTTCAAAGAACTATTTTTTTTTTAACAAAAAAATTGAGCTTTTTAGGCATAATCTCTCTTATTGGGGTCTAAGATGTTACACACATTCAAATAACGATAAAAAATATTTTATGACTACATATGTACATGCATAATGGTTTACCGCACCTTATCAAAAGTCCATGAGGGGCATCGACCCTTTAAATATTACTCGTTTACTAATAAGGAGTATTAAAACAAATTTAATGAAAAATGTTACTAAACTTTGTATTTATTTATTTACTCTTTATTGCACCGTTTAAAGAATAATACAAAGATAAATATATATTACACATATGGAGTACAAAAGGTAGTCGTATCGCTAAAGCAATCTCTTCCAGATACTCTTTATTATATATTTCTAAATTTATTGTATACTTCTAAACAAATTTGTATGGCTTAGATTAGTTTCCAATTCAGAACAGTCTCATATTTACAGTATATTTTTAAACGCCAAGCGAAATATAAAATATTTCTATACATATATATCTTTAATATTTCATAAGCATAATACTATTATATGAATCTGACGGACCCTCGCTTCGTCATTCCCGGTTGAACAAAAAAACATGACGTGACGATTTTATAAAAAAAAAAACAAATATATATTTAATCTCGTGTTGAAAGTGACTCATTTTCATAAGTACCATCAATATTTTATGTTGATACTTGTACCCTTTATGCGACTATCCAATCAACAAAAACCTCTATCTTCTACGCTACTTGATATTGTAGAGGGATCACCCTGTATTTCATTAGTCGCATGATCGATTCTAATAAAAAATAGAATAAATATTTTTTAAGTGAAACTTGAATAATACTTATTGCTTATAAAATCTCCTAATGACGAAACAAACTACTTTTAGATTTTGCATATATGTAAAAATTTACAAGTACTAACTTTTATTCTTTACAATTGTATAATACTATGGTATTATATATATATATATATATATATATATATATATATATATATATATATATATATATATATATATATATATATATATATATATATATATATATATATATATATATATATATATGATACCGTAGCAGCAATTATAAGCAATATATATATATATATATATATATATATATATATATTGGAACGCATAAATTCTATATATTTTATATACGAATACATATATGTAAGTCTGCATACCAATTATGTCTGTTTTACGTAAAGAAACCGCAACATGATTGTTTTTTTTTATTATTTATCCTTTTATTAGGAGGATAAAAATGCAAAAATTTAATACAACTGGTAAATATCTAATAATGTGAAAATATGTTATTGTTATTGCCTAACTTTATTAAGATTAAACATTACACTTGCGTTATCCCTATTTCTACCAAATAACTCGAATTTCTTCCACTGAACAATTTAGAATAAGATTGTCATCATAGATATACATATATATAAGAGCATAATTTAAATTAAAGCTAAGCTAAATTTTGTTTTGGTGTTAATCTTTGAATTGCACATCGAAAATAGGTAATCTAAAGAATTGACAGAAACAATATTACATGAATGTATTCCTTAAAAACACCCGATTTCAATAATGACAAAATCAATTACTTTGATTTAAAAAATCCAATTATTTTAAATTAAAAACTAAATTAAAGAACAGATTTTGATAAAATTTCTATAAGACTAATCTAAAAGTACATACTTTGAGATAAAAAAATCTATATCGGTTTATAACTGACGAGGTTATTAGATACATAAAAATACACCACCGAATTGAGAACCGCCTCCTTTTTTTTAAGTCGGTTGAAAAAGAGTTTTCCTAATAATTAATGTTTCGTAACATCACCGTAAGAAACCATAAGTATTGTTAGTAGATAAACTCATCCAAGCTTACCAAATGACTACTAACTAAACTGAACAAACTTCCCTATTACACACTGCGTAGTCACGTCACAATTAATTTAATATGAAAATTTCAAGAATTATTTTCAGTTAAATACTACGCTTTATACTGCAAAATTCATGCACACTATCTGTTCAGGCGCATTACTAGGCCGTCGTGATCGACTCTGAGTAACGTCCCATCACTACTACTATAACCATATTGTATTTCAAAAGTGAAAAATTGTCTTCGTTCTATTATCTAATTTAATATAAAATTCATTAATACAAATATTGGAGTCAGATCAGTTATTTTAAATCAAGAGCAATATACATCCCAAGCTGGAACACTATCACTAGTTTTCGGCTTGGTATACCTATTATGACTGTCACACCTGTTATTATGACCTTTTATAATTTATACAGATCTAATACTACTCGTAATACAAATCACTTATAGAACTTACGTCATCTGTTCTCATCTATGTCTGTGATATCATCATATCAGCTTTTAACTGCCCACTGCCACTGCAACTGTAGTTGCCACGCTTAGCTGGCGAATTGGCAACCCTAATTAGACTTTGGAGACGTTTTAAGGGGGACGCTGTTGCCCATCTATAGTCGTATCATATCTGTAATACACGTCCTCCAAGTACAAGTATCAAGAAACATCTTTTGGCAGTAGTTGCCACGTTTAGCAGGCGAATTAGCAACCGCAATTAGACTTTGGAGACGTTTTAAGAGGGACGCTGTTGCCCATCCGTCGCCGTATCATGTCTGTAATACACGTCCTCCAAGTACAAGTATCAAGAAACATCTTTTTACGTCTTCTATATTTTCTATATCAATACTTTCTATCTACATATATCTTCACCATTAACAAAGCGGTCGAAACTCATCATCAGACGTATCAAATTTTTTGATATTATGCATACACTTTATAGTGTAACTGCAGTTGCCAAGTCGCCTGCCAAGCGTGGCAACCAATGGCAAAAAATAGGCAAAGGCCTATGTTCAGTTAACGGCTGATATAATGATGCATAAATTTTAATATACCTACTTTACCTTTAACAATGTATGTAATCACACAAAATAATTTACCTATCAATACAAAACCACACAACAAAAAATTATTAAACTTTTATACATAATATAAAAATTAATGAATGTTCACAATACAAACATGAGGACTAATAAATTGTATGGTTTTCCAGAATGACCAATCAAATAGTTCAGTAAAATTGTAATGACGTAAAACAGTGTTTTTTCCCCTTTACAGGTACGCAACGCGACCGCTCTATTCATAATAAACTTGTCCACATCCGATCTCTTGTTCTGCTGTTTCAATCTACCGTTAGCCGGTTCTACATTCTGGACAGAGCATTGGATACACGGAAGAACATTATGCCGGCTGTTCCCGATGGTGAGATACGCGCTCGTCGCCGTGTCGCTCTTCACCATTCTGGCCATTACAATTAACAGATACATCATGATTGCTTACCCACTACTTTATCCTATGTAAGATTACCTTCATAATCATTTATTATCATTTAAGATAGATTAGAATAAAAAATCATTTTAATAGGCTTGTCCACAAGTTCTTTTAAATCATCACCTTTTTAATATTCTACCACTGATTTTAAAACGTTCATGTCTGTTTAAAAGATCCCGCTACAAACTCAATAGTTACTCTTTTTAAATCAATTTATGTATAAAAAAAATAATATTTTTACGTTGTGTTGAGATAAAATTTAAAAAGATATTTTGAGTATAACGAGCAATTTTTTATAATCTACCTACAAACTACCTAACTATGAATTCATTTTTCTCGAATCTATTTAACTCATATAACTACAGTAAACTTGAACACTACCTTGAATTCTTTGAAGTAAATTGATGTGTAATTGAACTTAGACCTACAGGTCAGACTATTAATAATAATAGGGATTCAAGTAAGCAAGAAGTTTGTGAAATTGTATAGTTGGAAACCAGGTAGCTAGTTTACAGGATATTGAATTGAATTTATGATGTAAATTGTTAACCCATTATTGTTTATGAATTATTAAGCTTTGAGTATATGACTAATCGATTATATTAATATAAGTGCGTATTTTGTTCTTAACAGATTATACACAAAACGGAAGCTGATACTGATGGTAGCGACAATTTGGATAATTTCCTTTGGTGCGCTGCTGGCAACGTGGTTTGAAGCTTGGGGTCGCTTCAGCTTAGAACCAAGTATTGGATCTTGTACCATAGTACCCGACGAACACGGCAGATCCCCAAAGAAATTTCTGTTCATAGTCGCCTTTTTACTTCCCGGTTTGGCGATTATAATATGCTACGCTCGTATATTTTGGATAGTTAAAAAAGTAGGCAGAAAATCACAACCATCAATTCGCTTGCGTCCCAGACCGACAACAGAGATCGTATCAACAGAGACACACTCGAGGGATATTTTGGAACACGAAAACAGACCGGCCAGTGTGCATGTACCACAAAAAATATATACTCAACGTATACTTTGCTTGTGCACACCAAGTTCAGAGAATTCCTCTTGTTCTGGCGCAGAGAGTTGCACACCAGATGAAGCTGACCGAAAAATGCCTTCAAGTAACAATCGCTCTGTAGGCAGTAGCGAAACGATTAGAAAAATCAAAGTAGCATTTGCAGGTAACAGGCAGCCAACAGAACCGAAACCACTTTTGCCCACTAGAAAAGACAAGAAATTGCGTACAATGATAATGGCCATAATGCTTGCATTCGGCCTCTGCCATTTGCCAATATCTGTAACGAAGATCTTCCTTGAGTTCACTCCACATCCAATTTTAAAAATTTTCAGTTACATTTTATTATATTTAACGACATGCATCAATCCCGTAATCTACGTAGTAATGTCTAATGAGTACAGGCAAGCATATAAAAATTTAGTCACATGTAGTCCACAAGTTAGAGAAATGACAGAATCCACAGGAATGAGGATAATGAACGGTCTGAATAAATCTTTTCGACGATCTGAAAGAAAAGTGAAGTTAAAAAATACTCAAGAAGATGTTTGAATGTTCTATAGTGTTTTGTTGTAAATGATGTGTTTTATTGTATTTGAAATTAGAGAAACAAGTGAGAGCCGTCCGCAATGTGCTAATTTGGAGGTGATGTAAGCGATAGAACAGTGTGAAACAGTAGATTTTTAGATTAGGGACGAAGAAGTATTATCTTCGTAGCGTAAGATATATCTTCAAATGTAAATAGACTTGTATATAGACATAATATTATATTAAGAGTAAAATGTTTTGGGAATACATCTATCTTCCACAAATAATACGATATAAATTTAAGAATTTCTTTTAAAGAATTGAATCCACACAAAGAATTTTGAAAAACGACTCTTGACCCGGTTTATTTTGTTTACAATTATTATATTTAAAAAATTATATAATAAAAAGAACATAAAAAATACTTACTCGAATATATTTTATCTTAACTCAATATAATAATGCTCTGAACATTGTCACGATTTTCTACGGATTAAAAAATAAATAGTTCAAATTTATATGGCGTACCTACTAAAAACTTGACTTGTTTGTCTTTTATGTGACATAGTCAAAATGAACGATATAAATATAGTTTATTTTAAGTATATTCACCAATTTATAGTAATTCCCTTCCTTATAAAAGGAATGATCAACAGTTTCCTTGTAAATTCATTGCTTGATAATATCCTTTCAAAAGATTAAAAAACATTTACACTATAATCATCTGAGTCACTCGTTTGTACTTCCGATTGGCGTTTGTTACGCTTCTGTAATTTAATAAATAGAAATACATATTCTTCGACAGTTTCAATGTTTAAGAGCAGTATCCAACTTCCACCCATCATTATCTGTTGACGTATATACGTATATATTTGTTATTTAATTCTTCGAATTGTATTTTAATTGAACTGAGTTTGAGAAGCTTTATTATTAATTACCTCTTTATGACATATACTCATAGTAACGGTTAAGATATAGGACGTAATTAAATGTGTTATATTGTAGGAAATATCGTAACTAAGTATGAATACTGTAATAGTGAATAACAGTCACAAATGTTTTACAAGTTATTAATTATACTTTACGGAAATTTAAAGACGTTAGAGATTTTATTGGAAATTTAAATTGATTAAAATTTAATAATTGTTTATTCACAATTGCAGAAATTTAAAAAATATATAATAATATATATTTTTTTTAAATTTCTGCAACGATATTGTGAATATGCACGGACGTTTTTGAACTATTTTTATACTGTTGCGTATAGTTTGCCAGTTTGCCACCATGAAGGTAAAATCATTCGATATTGTACCGTGTTATGATAAATAAAATAACATCCAATATCTTCGCGAATTATGAATCATTTTTAGTGATTCATATTGAATCAAATGGCTCCTGCGTTAATTCCTAGTATGGTCTAGTAACTGCATACTTACTAACTTTTATCTTCTAAATATGATGTCTTTTCTGAAAAAAAACTACTTTTTACCAAAATTATAAAAAAATAAAGAAACATATATCTTACTTCTCTAAGTGATAAACTAAAAGCAAAAGAATTATTATATTTTCCTGTAAAACTTGTTACATATTTAAAATTCAATTTTAACGTCAGTAGATTTCCGTAAATCTATTCATTCCTAAAGATGCGCTTACACGGGTAAGTTTTAAGCAAATGCCCACCAATTGTTTATTAAGTTACTTCATGTCGAATTTTCAATTTAATCGGATTAACGTAGATGTAATTTCGTCGAGATTATTCGACTAGTTTCGGAATGCCTAAAACCCTTTTTCTTATATAATTTACGTGAAGCCAAAATTCAAATGTGATCTCTTAAATAAGAGTCACGGATAATCCCGAAACTAGTCGAGTATAGTCCACAAAAGTAGAAAGTCAATCTGGTTAAGTTTACTAAAATTTTATAATATAATGTGTGCATACTAAATTTAATAATAAAAATAATATCGCCCAGCATTGCTTTGGCGGTATATTCATCAACAACTGTTATATATTTTTTTAATCATCACAATTAAGAAGTATTAACTGGATTTCCGCAATTTAAATTACCCATGTGAGCGAACCTTAATAAGGCAGATGTTTGGTACAAAACGTACAATATCAATGTGTGATATTATTGTAAATAAGATGGATGTCAAAGACGTAGAGTTTCGATATGATATTATTGAATCGAAGAAGGTGCTGTTTTAAACGCGTTATTATATAAAATAAATACATTGGTATATAAATGAGCAGGTTTAAAAAAAAATTTGTTAACGCAATTTATAATTATTTATTTTACTTATTGAAAACTCTCTTATAATAATCTCAATTTGTGCTTATACAAGGTAATATCGAAACAATTAGCATTCTTATAAAGGGCTATTCTACTGATGATTCTGACCATGTTTCACAAAAGAACATGGGTCAAAAAATGTACCGCCCATAGCCACTTAATACTATGGCGTCCAACTGTCAACTAAGCTCCCAATTTACAAAAACATCAAACCTCTGATAAAACTATAATAGATATTGAAATATTTATTCCTTTCTTTTGCACAAAATTCTCAATTTGAAAGACAGTGACAAATGAGTATTACAGTGTAATACTCATAATTAAAATATGTTTGTAGGACGTTTTAGTTTTTATGAATAAGAGAATTAGTACAGAAGACTCAATTTTTTTCGGTAAAATATACTCCCTTAAAATTTTGCTAATTACTTCTATATTACCTGTATACATTTTTTATTAAATTTCTAAAAGTATATCAATTTCGCTGTCGTTAATTTAATATATTAATATTATAAATTAAAAAAAAATCCTATTAATCTAGATATTCATTTTTAGGCAGTACCTATCTATTTTTATGAATTGTATAATTATATAAAAATATAAGTTGTGATTTCTCCATACGATATATCTAATTGCGAAATAGTTTAACTTATAATAAATGTTATAAGTAAGAGTTAAATTTATAAAAATCAAATAACTAAGCCTAAAAACGTAGCAATCATTCCAGGATACATTTGGGAGATATGGTTAATGATTACTATAACAACTATAGCAATTTATTTAATAATCTATAAATATCTAAGTTAAATTAATGATTAAAATAAATGTTTTGTACATTAACTGTATTGTAGAATGAGAAAAGTGTTACTAGTGTTCCCAAAGATGTTTGTATGTAAAGAACACGATATTTCATTTATAATATTTACTTGGACATTCAATTGAGTATGTATACAAACGAGTTTTACTATGAAGAAACGATGTATGGACTTGTTTTTTTGTAAGATATATTTAATTATCGTTAATTATATATCAAAATCTCTTAACAAGGATGATTATGCTATAAATTACTGGGGAATAGTTCCATAATTTTCCATAAGTTACGTATGGTATACATTCTAATGGTAATATGATTTAACAACCAGTTTTATTTAGAATCACGAAGCAATAATAGTTTTCAAGGTCTACATTTGCTATTTTTGTCAAGTATATGGAAATAAGAAAAGAAAATACTCGAAAACAGTGGATAACTGGACAAAAACAAATTGCAAATGTTATGTCTGTAATATTTTTACAGAAACTAGTGTTTTAATTGTTTATATGACATTAAAGTCATTTGATTGTTCCATATGAACTAAATTAAGAAACTTCTGAGCTAGAGGATATATACGATATAAAAGCATTGGCATGACCTTTTTTTCTATATAAGTGCAGCTCATTATTTTTAATTCATCTCACATATATATTACCTATCTAATATTAATGTGGATTTGATTATATATAAACAGAACTTTTTATATGTATAATTTACAATACAACAAATCTATTGGACAAGGAAAACAGGCCTGCATTTTGCATACATAGAATATATCTATTGAACTATACTTTTATATTATTAACCTAAATACCTCTTACCCAAATAGTCACATTCAAGATAGAGGTTACTATTAAAGTTACTTTTGAATATACAACGCTGAACTAGATTAGATAAAACTTTTTTCAGTTTTACAAAAATTTATGATCACAGGAAAATGAAATTTATTCTAAACTAATTGAAAATTAAACTCATTAAACGTTCAATTTATTTAAACAAAAAACAGTCTTATGTATATATCTTCATTGTCAGTCAATATCTAATATTAAACCACGTAATAATCAATGGGATATTAATTCTATACATCATTTTTTCCTATTTAAATTTTATTAAAATAATATAAAATGCAATCATCAAATAAATAGCAGAATGTACTTTTACAATGACATATATGCTGGTATTCGTCTTTTATTAAATCCAAGAATGATAATATCTAGGAATTACACATGCGTCATATTTTTTGTGGAACTCTGTATGAATCGTGTATTGATAGAATTGGAGTGCGTACATACAATATAAGTCCAATTCTCTCAAGTAAACAAACCATTTCGTGCGTTTACTTTTCATTGTATTCATATTCTATATCTGTTTTACACTTTTTAGTTTGCACTTGACCATGCCTACTCATAAATTTTAGTTACCGTCAACCTTCCGAACTTTAATTACATTCAAGGATTCAAAGTCATAAACATTTCCAATTTTTATGTAAATTCCCCAACTTAAAGTTGCTTTTACATTCTCTAAATTAGAATATTCATAATTTTAAAGAAGATACAGTGCATAATATGCATTTAATACGTAAAACACATGTATTATAATTAAAAAGAACATACTGGTATTTTCCTTAGTTGTTATAAATTTTACAATTACCTTGTATACCAAAGCTACTCAAAGCGTAACTAATTGTATTATTAAGTGTATGATTAATGTAATAAATTATTGACACCTGTCGTTGATATTGTAAGCTGAACACCAAGAAGTAGGTACCAAAGAACCAAACACCGGGGCCACGGAAACCCTTAAGCCATTGTACTTACCAAAGATGTAATTGTAATAAATTAAAATGTTTACATTTTTCATGACTTTTATTTATCACTTGCAATCATCCGCGACTTCGTTCGTGTGACTAATGTATGTTGATAGACTGGATTAAGTAGTTTTTTTAATGGATGATAATGGAATGGTAACCCCGTCTGCGTTAACGATATATACTGGCGAAGCACCAGTAGCTGATTATAGGAGAAAATTAAAAATCGCTCGACCTGATTGGGTATATTGCTAGCAATGGGATTCTCAGTCTCCATTACTAACAATCCCTTTCCCCCCGAAGTGAGACAGGTTATAAATATAAGAATGTCTTGATCACTCATTTACTAAGATAGGTTAAGTAAATTATAACAAAATGGGCCTTATGTTGTCTGAATAAATATATATTATTATTACTATCAATATTTCATATTATGCAGAATATTCACCGGAGGGAGACTGTACAAAACTCGTTTGCTTGAATACCTCTATTCCTTTCGTGTTTCTACCATGAAGCACTTGTGTTTACATGACTGTGTTTCGATTTAAAGTGTGGGATACGGCAGTGAACTGTACGTACCCTGTAAACAGAGAAATAACACCTTAGTCCTCAGGAATGGCAACGCATGGGGGGTATCATGGGCGAAAAAGTATACTCTGTTATGTCCATGGTACGGTTCATATCTATAGGTGACGGTTACCATTTCCCATCAGGTGGGCCGTCGGCTTTCATTCTAAGTTGTATAAAAAAACATGTCGTAAGGAACGGTCCTGAACCTAATGCACAGACCTACGAACTTTCTGCAACACATTAGAGGTTGTAACTTTATATAGTAAGCGGATCATCCTACTCTGCGTTTCCTTGTTCATGTTCTATTAGTTGCTAATTCTTCTTTCCGGCTCGCTTCTTCCAGATTATATCAGCTTTGGTTCTTTTACGTATATCCAAATTTTATGTTCTGTCACGCAACAAAAGTCACAGTATTTTCTTACAACTAATATAGGTTTATAACAAATAGACAAAGTAAAAGTCATACAGTCCCAAGGGAAATACACTTGGACAACTCACAAAGAATTTAATCAGAAAAAGTAATAGTAGGAGTTGCAAAGTTAGGTAAGGAGCTGAATTATAAATGTACCTTAATACTGTTAAGCTGAGGCCACACCGCAGCGATATCGATCACCAGCAACTTTAACTCACTTCTAATGTTCGTGTGATAGCTAATTTTACGCAACAGCCGGCCAGCTTTTAGGCCGGTAGTACATCTGCAATGCCTCTGGTGTTACAGGTGTACAGCCGGGCGCCGATAGTCACTTACCCTCAGGTGAGCCGCATGCTCGTTTGCCCCCTATATTATAAAAGAGCCCAACCGAGGAATGTAAAAGAGCCCAACCAAGGAGTGTAAAAGAGCCCAACCGAGGAATGTAAAAGAGCCCAACCGAGGAGTGTAAAACATTCAGAGTTTATGTTAAGTATATATTAATTGCTAACAACTTTAACTCACTTCTAATATTCGTGTATTAGTTTTACACGACAGCCCAAAAATGTAGTGTGAAGTTTTTAGAGTTCATGTTATATATGTGAATTTCTTATTCCATTGTATCTTCTCAATTCCTAAACAGATTTAAATGTATACATTTATAAAGTATACTCTATAGAGTATTATTAGAATCCTTACATTATTGAAAGTGACAATAGCTATATTTTCTTTGAAAAAAAAATATACAGTCGAACATAAAACCTCCTCCTTTTTCGAAATCGGTTAAAAAAGATTCATTTTGCAAAACAATCGTATTTTTAATTTTCAGAGCAAAATGTACTTGATCTATACTGGATTACGATTTAAATCTTAACATGTCTTTATACCGAAATGCCAATTTATAAAATAAAGAACTAGCTAAAGCATTTATATTTATTTTAATATATAAAAACTACGTGTCACTATATTCATTCACGCTTATCTTCGAAACTACTCATTACAATTTTTAAGTACAATAATTTTAAATACAAATATCAAAAATTGTTTCTTTTTATCTATTTTATTTGTAAATGACTGAATACTTACAAATAAAAAAACTTTATGTTTATTTATTAATTATACCAAATTAAAAAAAAAAACAGGATACAAATATCCAATTGAAAATCAGCGACAACTAAATTCATGCGGTATGAACAGGGCATTAGTCGAGTTTATATAAAGACAACAAAGTTTACCTACAACATTCAACAAGTACCTAATAGTCGACACAGATCAATGAAGATTATTACAACAATATTGACAATTCGTTCGTATTATAAGGATATAATAAAGATGTAAGTAATGTATTCCAAATATCATGTCAACCAGAGGGAGACTGTACAAAAGTCGATTGCCTGGGTACCTCTGTCCCATTCGTGTTTCAACCGCGAAGCAGTTGTGTTTGTATGACTGTGTTTCGGCTTGAAGGGTGGGATATGGCGTGAATTTACTGGGTATAGAGGAATAACACCTGAGTCCTCAGGAATGGCAACGCATGGGCGGTATCATGGGCGAAACAGTATACTCTGTTATGTGCATGGTACTGCTCATGTCTATAGGCGACGGTTACCACTTTCCATCAGGTGGGCCGTCAGCTTGTTTGCCATTCTAAGTTGTATAAAAAAAATCATGAATTAATGAAAACTCTTTATTGTTACCTTCAAAGAATGATACAGATTATAAAAATTAACAATATGCACACAAGCAAAATAATTAATTAATTACATAAACTTCATTACATAAAAGCAAGATAAAGAGATGAATGACACAATGAACGACCTTATTGCTTAATAGCGATCTCTTCCAAGCAATCTTAGAATGGAAAGGAATAATTAAAATTGTGTCCGGTCAAGGCGTAACAGAAAAATAATAAGACTAAAAAAGGGAGAATAAAAAAGCTTAAAATAAAATAATAATAATTGGTAGAACTGTTTATACTTCAAAAGTTGGCAACTAAACAAGATATTTTAATGTACAAATTACCGATTTAACTGACATGTAATTTGATCGAGAAAGCACGTCTAGTTTCGGAACAATTCGGGACCCTTAGTTTTGAGCGGCTTAATGCGAGAGCCCCAAATGCGCGCTTCATTATATTTACAATATAACGTGTACACACAAAACTTTTAACAATGAAACCAAACAAATTGACTTGGAAGTTTCGGCCACGTGTATTATGATGACACGTGTAGGTATTTGGTACACCAAATTACATTTATTCAACTTAGTAAACATCTTTAGAAACTTTCACATTTATTATCTTAATATAATCCTATTAATATTACAAATGAGAAACATTATAACGATTGATGAATGGATGTTAATTACCCTTTCACACAAAAACTAGTAACAAATTTAAATGAAATTTGGTGCACAGATAGTTATATCTCAGCACATAGAATGTACTGATTTACGCAGGTGAAGCTGCTGAATGTAGTTTGTTGAGAATAATAGTAACTATTAACTTATTACTATAATTTTATATTATTTATATTTTATTTTATTTATTTATGGCAACAAACAGTCATTTACAAAACAAATAATTATCTGTAGTAACACTATCACATTACATTAATCTGTATCGCGCACTAAATAGAATATTGATACGGAATATACTAAATATTACCAGAGGCAGACTTTGTAGAAACGACTTCTAAGGAATTGTTTGAAATGCCATTTTTGGGGTTTTTCAAAAAGCATATAATATTAAGGTTTCTTCACATACCCTAGTGTTGCAGGTATCTATAGGCTACAGTGATCTTTTACCATCAGAAGGACTGTATGCTTGTTTGCCACATTTGTGGTATAAAAAAAAGGCAGTATGTTAAAGGGAGGGAGACTTTGTACAAAAGTCGATTGCTTGGGCACCTCTGTCCTATTCATGTTTCTACCGTGAAGTTGTACTTGCATAGCTATGTTTCGGTTTGAAGGGTGAAATATGGCAATGAATTTACAGTACCATTACATTATATATTTACAGTACAGTACCATCTTTTGTTAATTTTAAAATAACCCACTTTTTTTTGGGAAAATTCCACTATAAATATAAACATTATCTACATGGTTATTACAATTATATTAAGTAATCAACTCCCAACAACGATAATCCTTGGCGCCCGCCTAATCTTATTAGATCCGTTTATAATGGACACGGCAATTAGTGACGGTACGTTGCCACATAACACAATGTCCATTCGCTTTCATCATCGATTATAATGGTAAATTTATCTACAGCATTCTTTTTAAACCTCAGGTCATTCTTAACAAATTTCATGATTCTAGGTCAACGAGAAGAATCCTATAGATTTGATACCCTTACAAATGTCATAATATACGCTTTAAACAGCTTTATTTTTCATCTGCGTTAACTTAGAAATTTCAAGTTAATTTCAAGCCAATTAAAAGTTTTTCACAGCTTCAATAAATTGTAGATTTAAATGTTTGATTCTAGTTTTAGCTTTTTACTCCACATGTTCCTAAGGAAATCCAATATTAAACAAAATACTCCATGAAGAATTCCGTTCATTCCTTCGTTTTGAAATAAGCTTCAAAAGGAAAAACGAAATCCATATATACAAGGGATTATTAGTAATAGGGTCTGATAACCCTATTGCTAGCAATATACCTTATAATGTATATTGCTAGCAATAGGGTTAGCAATATCCAAGCAGTTCTCCCAGAAACCATCGTAGTACATTTTCGCTGAATTCATCACGATGATGGGTCAACTGGCCTGCTTTCATCCTCACTGATGCCCTGCTAGCGTACACCGATAGCTCAAATAGCTCAAGCGAGCTTACCGATCCAATTTCATCCATTATAAAAAAAAAAATTTTAACCCTGTCTTGTCGTTCATGAGTGATCATTCCCAAGGAGGATTGAAGTCAGGCAGGCAGCCAGTCGTAAAACCAAAACCTTGAATTATGTATAATACTTAAAATAACATACTGAACATTAAAAAAAAAAACAAATTGTTACATCTTATTATGTAACTATATGTCTGGAAAATAAATTATTAATTATTAAGAGC